TTTTCGGGTCCAATTTTGGTCGATTTCGGCAAAAAATGCGGGTTTGCTGAGAATGCCGATAAATCGGCCTTCAGGCCCATGTTTAGGCCGGTATTAGACATGGAAAGAGAATGGAAATGACAAGATCATGATGCATTCCGAAAATTATAGACCTTCAATGAGCAAAACTTGTAGAGTTGAGGAAATTCAGCAAAGATGGGCCCAAAAACGGCCAGTATCAATACCCCTCCTTGATGATCATCAAGTTTTGCCAGACTTTACAACGGAGGAGTTATACTGCTGTTTATATCAGTGTCCTGTCCACAATACGAGTATAATCACGAATTTAGTGCGGCTAACTGTATGATATTTTTTTGTCGCTCTCAAAACTTACTCAACATTCGACAAGTTTTCATAGAAAGTGGTGATGAGGTCGAGATGGTATCATTTTTTATTCGGATACGACAATTAATACATTCTTAGCTCATTATGTCCCAATAAAAACCGTGAGATCACAATCCTCACAATTTTCGAAACGGCGCCGTGCACTTTAAAGTCTCAACTTCGCGACCGAAGAATGCTGAGCAGAAATACTTGATCCTCATCTATGAGGAATGCGGCCTGAAGTGTGCACACCGAAGCCCAAGAAAAATGATCAGTTCAAATTTTGAACGCAAGCGTGCTCTGCTCTGGGAAGCAGATGACTTCATGTTTTAAAAGCTATTCGAAGATTTTCAGGAAGCGGGTCGGTTTAGATGCATAATTGCATAAGGCAAAAATAGTTACATTAATTGGTTGTTACGAAACCGTCTGTGTAAGAAGTGGTGAAACCGGCATTTTAGGTACTATGACTGTGACGCTTATTCGCATCTCCTTTCGTCTTATATCTCGTCGTCTTCGTCGACGTATCTTTTGTAATATAAAGTATAAGACTAACCAGGTTAATACATTCTCTCGAGTATCCGAGTTTTACCTTCTTAGACAACGATGATTAGTTAAAAAAATATGTGCAGGTTGGTTTCAAGTTAAAATAATACGAACAAGATATGGTAATAGTGAGGCTATGCAGAAACGCTTCTCATGAGTCAAAGTAGTCGCAGTAAAGACTGATTCAAGAAACGCTCCTAAATTACGTAAGACTGAATTGAGGGGCTTGGAGAACAAGACGCAGAAGTGCAGTCTCTGCTATTTCAAGAAATACACGTTAAAAGGTTCAAAATTATACATGGAGCCTACTGACGGACAGAAAGCTCAAACTCACTTTTTGATAATACTTAAAAATTAGATTTCAAAAGTGAATTTTTCACAGAATATATTTTGTGACTAATTTTTGTTGAAAAAATTTCCATCAAAATTTTCACAAGAACTGCATTCATGCACACTGTCTTCCAAGCCTCGCGATTGTGGTGTTCGGACGGCTGCCTCCTCACAGAAGAATAAAAAACACTGACGCAGATCTTCCCTTTCCCATGATTCAGAAAAAAATCACGAGATATTTACACAACAAAGAGGGGATGCTATTTTATGAAGAAAAATTAGTGATGAGACTCATTTCAGAAATACTGACTCCTCGAGAGTACGCCCCCCCCTCCAATTATTTGCAAAATTTGGGCAGTTGTTACGATATCTCAGGACATTTTTTATCTTTCTCTGTTTTTTTTCCATGCACCTATCGTAGACCTTGCGTCGATGCTGCTGCGAAAGTCAATGGAAATTCGCCGCGCACAAGAGTTAATTGAAGCTGATCCATCGAAAGGCGGAAAAGAGGATGATAATGGCTAATGATGAGACAAAAGTCTGGCGTCGCGACGGAAGTGCTTCGCTAATAAGATGATGGAGTAGAAGGTGTCTGACGGACGAGAGCCGGGAGGGGTGGGCGGGGATGACGGGTGGCTGAACCCTTTGCAGATTAGAGTTGCAATTCGTCTATTGATCTCGCACAAGTGGGTTACGGGGACACTCGAAGCGGAATGAAAGCGCAGGGACGCGGCGGGGCGAGGGCTCGGAGGGTGGGTAGGTAGCGCAATGCTCCTGGCCCTTCCTAGCCTCAGGTTGCGCCCCGAGCGCTACCGCCTTTTGTCTGTCTGTCGCGTGTCGTAACTTCCGGAATGCACCTCAAGTCGACTTGTAATGCAATATTTCAGTTCTTTGTTTCTCTTAAAAGGACCCTCACTCGTATTTTTTATAACAGTCATTGCCGCTGAAGTTTCAAAAACGACCAGAACTTTTTAACAGACTAAATTAATCTTATTTTTTAAATTTTTATTGCGTGGACTCTAGTACTTTCGAACTTGAAGGCAGTTATATGAAGGACGTATTTAAGATGATTCGATGGACGCCATATTTTGTGTCAGAACGGCATGCGATATATCGCATCAATTGGTTCCGCATTTTTTCAGCTACTCGTCATTTTTCTCCAATTTTGAGATCGCAATTCTGTTGTCAGGAGACTGAAGCACCCACTTACCAATTTTAACAAAAAAATTCAACGTAATAAAGGCGCGGTTTTTTCAGAGGGAAAACATAGCATACGATACTGATATCGAAACTGCACTCGAATGGGAAATTTTCTCTCTAAAGAAACCACGCCTTTATTACGTTGAATTTCTTTGTTAAAATTGGTAAGTGAGTGCTTCAGTCTCCTGACAACAGCATTGCGATCTCAAAATTGGAGAAAAATGACGAGTAGCTGAAAAAATGGAACCAATTGATGCGATACATCGCATGCCGTTCTGACACAAAATATGGCGTCCATCGAATCACCTTAAATGAAAAGGAACCATATCCATTCCGACATTAGCCCTGAGATCCATAAGACTCCACGCAGGACAGGGCTCATGTCACACTTTTCATTCGAATCCGTTCATTACAGGCTCTGCATGCACGAAAAGTTTTGCGGTAAAATTGTAAGCCTCTCGGATATCAACTCAAGGTCTTGATGAGAATATTTATGAAAGGACCCGACGAAAGTCTCTATTTTGCCCCATTTTTAACTTTTATAAACACACACATATCTAGGGTCTGATTTACTTACTTGCCGCCCATGGGCCGTCTGTATTTTGCCGCCCCCTTCTTAATCGTTTTGAAACACCAATAAAAACCATCAAGTGAACTTGGCGGAGGGGGAGGGGTGCATAAGACGCGTTTACTCGTGTTGGACACATTTTTTGCGGAAGCCTTGTCAACACTACTAGCAAAAGTTCATGGAACTTGGCGCGAAAGTTAAGTTCCGTAAACCTATCAAGGAGTGTCTAAGTGTGGACAAGGCCTTCCACTTATGTGAAATGAACGAAGAAATTATGAAAGAACGAACATGAATGTGGTTTAATAATTTTAACTTCCGCTGCCGCGCCGCGCTGACCGCACTGTGTTTGGCGCAATGTGTGAAGTATTCCTACAGTCTTGTAGGCGCTAGGCGTTTCCCGCCGACCGCTGCTGACCGCAGCGACCGGCACTGTCTTTGACGCAATGCGAGAGGTATTCATGCAGTCTTGTAGGCACTGACGGCCGCGCGCCGCGCCTAGAGTCCCTTTATACTGAGAGTCAAGACAATTTGAATCCATTACTGATTGGTTCCCGTATTTTAGGCCTCCACAGTGTCACAAACGGGAATAAAGATTACATTTTCACCAATTGCAAAGATTATAATCTGGAATGGACCGAGGAATTTCGGGTTCGACAAGGAACAAACGGAATGAGAGGAGGAACGGAGAAAGGCATTTGAGAATGGGCCGATCAAAGATTACGAAAAACGTTCAATTTCTGTAATCTTTATTCCCGTTTGTGACATCCATGAGCCGAATTGTCTTGACTCTCAGTATAAAGGGACTCTAGCCGCGCCGAGGGTTTCTCCTTTTCATCTCAAGTTCTCGTCATCATTGCTCTCTGAGCCGCTCCGTTCCAGGCCAAATTCCGTGTTCGGTTTCTCTCTTAGTCTTAAGTCGACTATAAAGGTGCTGTCTATTGTATCACAGAAGGATGGCAAAATTAGAGATATACTCTCATGCAATGAGAGATTTTGTCACCTTTTCCCGTTTGTAATTTGTCTTTCTTTCTGAATCCGATTTTTCTTTATACCTACACTTAAAAAAAAATGCAAAATTTGCCGCAGTGGGCCGCGGTCCATGTGATCACCCCCTAAATCCGGCCCTGCACATATCATCATCCCATGCACGCATATTGTCATTTATATGGCAATAGCGGGCGCGATTTTTAGGGAAATAATTAGCTAAAAGACGAAAAGGAAAAGGAGTATTTCATCGTGCGGGATAGAAGGAAAATTGCGTATTTCCTTCCGAATATACACCAAAACGAGAGGCACAAATGAGACCATCTTTGAAGAATTTTAGAAATTGAAATTGAAGTTAAATTTGACGTCACGTATTGTGTGTAGCCATTTACGTTGTTTTATGCCAATACCGGAACCAATTTGTCAAATACAAATGTTAAAGTAGAAAAAAAACTATGCAACGATGCGAAGTAGTGTTCTCCATAAAAATTGAAGAAAAAAAATTGGCAGGAAACGGTGGCACTTTACTTGAAAGCACTGTTTTCATTGGCTCTCTGGAGGAATATTGTCACTTACTGCTGTCTTGCCTGAGACTACGTCATTTTTTGCGCACTTACGGCTGTCTCATAAGTCTCGTTTTCATGAAAATAAGATGGATTTTGCTGTTTTACCTAGCTATTTCTGTGATTTCATCCAAAAGAGATTAGACGATTTTGAAGGAGACTCGATTTCGAAAATTTGACCCTTACTGCTCTCTTCGCTGTCGGGCAGAAGAATCTGTAAAGTTGCTTCCTCGTTCCGTTGACCGATCTTGCACGGATCCTGCAACTACGAGTATTACGTCATCGCCAAAATAATTATTCACCGCGCCCAATCGACAACCATGCTCACGTGCTGTACTGGCGGCGTTGTCGCCGTTCGAGCGCACGAATAGCAACAGTCGAGCAGCGCTACGTAGCGTCGCGTCGCGTTGGCGCTGGCGTCGAGTCGAGCGCCGTGACGCGCGCCATTCTCGACGGAACAAAGAACGAGGCACGAAAGCTGCGGCGCGCGCATCCGGTCGCCAGCTACGGGCGCCTTCGCCAACATGGCGTCGTCGCTCCGTCGCTCGCCCCTCGACGAATTCCTCTCTCTACCCGTAGGCTTGGCCAAGCCTCCTCAGTACGACCAACTATTCGCTCGCTGCGCCACGCTTCGTAGTGCCATGATTCCTCTCACAAACTTATTTAGTTGAGACTAGTGCTTGCCAGTGTAGTTTAAAAGTTTAAGTACCCTTATAGTTGAGACGTGTCGCGTGTTCATCGAGGTTCATCATGACGGACAACGAGTTCACCCTGGAGGAGGACGAACGGCTCATCGAAGAAATCGCCAGGCGTCCAGAAATCTACGATCCCAATCACGCTGGCTACAAGCAACTGACGGTGAAGGATCAGCGTTGGGCGGACATTGCTAAGAAACTTGATAAAGCTGGTGAGTATGCCCCATCATCGCCCGATTTCGTCAACGAACTGAACGTCTGGAATGGCCACCAGCGGGCTGATCACTGAGATTGACAGACAAAGCTATAGACAATTGGTTGCAACTGATGGTTTTTGACAGACTGAGGGGAAAATGATTGACTAACCGTCGGGTCTCTCGTCGGTTGCCGTTATAGTTAGCCTATCGCCTAACTCATTTGTCCATTGCAACCAACCGTTTCCACCAATAGGATCCCTCTTTATCCCCATTGCTTTGTTTGTCTATAGCTTTGTCTATCAATTGCAATAATAGCCCGGCCGATAGGGAACTAACGCGCATAACCCTGGTAAAAATTGGCAGTAGAATCTGTGTTCCAAAATACCATAGACCTACAGCCGGCTGTAAGATGTCCAATAGCCTCTACAGCCGGCTACACAATTTCTTATAGCCATTTATAGCTGATGGCGATTAAGCAACAGCCAGGCGATAAAGTGTATGCTAAACGTTACTAATTACGGATGCTAGAACTTATTGAGTTTTTGGACTACTGCTCTCTTTTTGGGCCGTAGTATCTTGATTTATTTTGCGAGGAAAGCTCCGTACTTTCGATGGATACCTGCCATTCCTAATATATTAGGGCGCCTTCAGTTTCGTATGATACTGTGCAATACCTCTGGTGTGAAATAGTTGCTTCAAGCGCCGTGGCTTGCTGCGGCGCGGCAGGCGAGCAGCCAACGCGAAACGCGCATTGGCGCCTACAGACCTAACAGGGATACTTCACGCGTTGCGCAATGCGTGAAGTATCCCTGTGAGGTTTGTAGGCGCCAGTGCGTCGCCGCTCTACTTTGTGTTAGGCTCTAATATTTAATCTGGCGGGGTCAGCGTTATTCAATTCATGATTTTGAAATGTTTGCACATATATATATCCTGTATGGATTATTCTCGTTTTAATTGATGAAAAAAAAAATATGTATTAAAGGAAAATATAACGTGTGTTTTGTAAATATTAAGGTGGTTCCGTATCAAACTTAATGATTTCCAAAGCACACGAATTTCTACACAATTTCTTACAGTCATTTATAATCGATGGCGAAAAAGCAACAGCCAGGCGATACAGTGTAAAGCCCGGCGATAGGAACTATAGCCCGGCTGCATAATTTTTTATCGCTTCGTATAGCCCGACCATATGATTTCCTCCGCATTCTACAGCCAGCTATTTGATTTTCTGTAGCCTTCTTTAGCCGGCTATAAGAATTCCCATGGTATTTTGAAACGCAGCTCTCATCGCCAATTTTTACCAATTTTACGCTTTTTGAAGGCCGGAGGGGGTTGAAAGTCCAAGTATACGTGACTTCAATGATGAACTTAGGAACGAGGTAGATTGAGTTGCACTCGGAGACGAAGCAATGTCATCGGAATCGGCGACGGTGGTAGCTTTCCCGAAATAATTTGTAATTTTAGGAACTTCTTTATCCAACTCCTCACGTGCTCTCATTCTCTCTCGTTTCGCAGTGCCTTTCAAATGTTGCTGTTGTGAGTCGGCCATTTGTGCTGAATTCAACTTTATTCGATTACACTCAAAAACATAGTAATTTCACTTTTTTAGGCAGTAGAAGTTGATTAAACACGCATTTACTTTGAGAATAAACGAATTGCCGAGAGTGAGATGATCGGCAGAAAGCCTTGGGCCAATCGGACCGACTGAGGACTGTACGGATCACGACCAGAGAGGAGGAGAAGGGGAAGGCGCCAGCCTGGAGGCAAAGCTATCGGAGAATTTGCCATCGGAGACTATCAGATACCTTATGAGCCACGGTGGTCCAAGTCGCGCTTTATCATGCTTTTGCGACATAGTCTAACAAGGGCGGATCCAGCAATTTGGCAACACCGAATTTCCTCCATTTAAACCTATGTTAAATAATCGATTCTTATCGGAGCACGTGGCCTCTCCGGAAATCGATGCATTTCCATAGGTTTAAATGAAGAAAAAACAATGTTGCCAAGTTGCTGGATCCGCCAATGTAGTCTAACTCTTATCGTTCACGTCAATCGGAGCAGTTTAAAGGGATAAAGGGCCTGCCCCTGCCCCTCCCAGAATTCCTCTCGGCCCCTTAAAATAATTAATTTTGAGGACCAAGCTTCAGGATCGTTTATCACTAAACAGTGCGTGAAAGGTTCAGTTTTTACCCCTCAACTTTCGTTTTGATGGTTGAGGAGGCTCCTTCGGGGCCCTAGGCCGCGGATCCCGGCCCAAAGGCCCTTATATTAATACTTAATTTCTCATGTATCTTGCTTTTTAGAGGGGGGGGGGCATATTTTGGCCCTTGTTAATCCTCAGTGATAAATGTCGTGCCGATTTCCGCTTACAACGGTCGCCAAGTTGCATTTTTGGAAGTTTAAGAAATGTTCAAATTGACTTTCCGTCCGAGTGTCAGTCGGCGCTCGTAGCAGAAAAATGAGCACTCGGTCTAGGTGAAGTATTAATCCATGAGCATGCTTGCATTTAGGATTCCAATGCTAATTCTCTCACATTCTGACGTCAATTATTAGCTTCTCCGTCTGAAATGTTTCATTTCTGTTCCAGTCGATCACTGTAAAAGGAGATGGAAAAATCTCAGAGATAATTATTTCAAGCAATTAAAGTCGGGGCCAAACAAAATCAGGAGGAGAAAAAATACTCTCTTGCAAAAATTGACGTTTTTGGATAGCATCGGACCGAGAAAGTAAGTTCCTCTTCCCCTTTTAGTTCAGTATGAAGTACCCTACGTTAAGTCTGCGATTTTGAACGGAACATTACGCGCATGTAATTTTTAACCTGAGATATCTTATTTACTCGCCTTCATTCGGCAGGATAGACAAATACACTTCCGCCATGCCGAAATACTGATGTGCTAAAGAAGAACGCAGTATGTCCACTCGAGCATTGCCAAATTTCCTTCGATAAAAGGTTTATTTTTGAGGGAAATTATGATTATTTTCAGATAATGAAGATCTGATAGCAAATGAAAGTCTCGGAAAAATTCAAAGGAAAATATTCGCAATTTCCCCTAAAATATTATTCGTATTTTATTAAAGAAAATTAGGCAACGTTTGAAGGCTCATACGACGTTCTTCCTTAGCAGGGCATAATAGTCACGCAGCTTGCTCACGTTTTGGCGTATGCGTTTTTCATGAAGGTGCTCCTGCGTTTAGTGGGAGTAAATTGATTAGTGAAAACACAGTTGTGGGTACCGAAAAATGTTTCTATAATTCATGCTTCCCAAGTCAGTGATCGCGATAAATAGCGATTTTATCGGTTGATTTTCGCGATTAAATCGGTGGCAATTTATCGCAATATTATCGAATGAAAAATTGCTATCCATGGCGATTGATTCGCTATGCATCGCAATTTTTTGTTCAATAAAATCGCGATCAATTTTCGTCGATAAAATCGAGATTAAATCGCCATATATCGCGATTTTTTTTGCGATATTATCGCGATGAATTGCCGGACGATAAAATCGCGATTTTATTGCAACAAGATCGAGGATAATCGCTCAGATGTTGATGATCTTAGCGGTTTTATCGCCGACAAAATCGAAACAAATCGCCATTTTTGCGTTGAAAAATGCTACTTGGGTTATGTGTGCTCTAAAAACTTTTTCTCTTTTTCGCGGTATTGAAAAATTTGAGTCCCCACTTCAAATCACATTTTGCACTACAGTGTCATAAGTATATTTTCATTATTACACTTTTCCAATTTCCTCGTAGGCTCGTAGTGGAAGCTCCGCCCCTAAAGCGTCCCCGCCTCCGAGCCCCGACTGACGAGGGTCTCTCCGTCGACTCCTCAAACCAACAGGAAACCCTCATGGACACGGAGGAGGTTTTCCAACCGGTGATCCATCAAGTGCAAGACTTCCAACAGACCGAGCACCAACCCATGAGCGAAACTGCCACGACTGAGAACGATCCTCTCAAAGACGTGGACATCGTCGAGTTGCTCTCCGGGGTCCTAAAAAGGAGAGACCAAGAAAACGCCAATTTGATCAATCACATTCTGAGCCTCCAAAACCAACGCAAGAGCGAGGACGAGCTTGAACTTTTCTTCAAGTGCATCCTATTGACCATGAGGAAGTTACCGCCGGCTGTTGTTTCTGAGCTGAAGGGTAAAATATTCGCCTTGGTTTCCGAGCAAGAAATCAAAATGCTGCAACCCACGCCGAGGCCTGATTCCAGCATGTCGGTTAATTCTGACATCCAACATTAGAATCCCTGCATGTTTTTTCTTGACGCACTGTTAAAAACTGGGAAGCGAAATTCGGTGCCGGAGTCTATGTAGCGTCCAAAAACTCTGATTGATAAGATTGATATCCTTAGTGCACTGGAAAAAAAACACATTGGATCTGGAGATCAGACTCTTGAAAACATTGACAAGATAAAGGACTCTTGATTCAATCAGATTTAAGCTTAAATCAAAAGGAAATCCGTTCAAATTAAGAGGCTTGGTTCTTGATTTAAGCTTAAATCTGATTCAATCATGAGTATTTTTTCTCGTCGATGTTTTTAAGAGTCTGGACACTAGATCCAATGTGTTTTTTTTCCAGTGTGTGAAGTGAAAGTAGCACCATAAAAGCGTATGACACTCCGCAAAAAGAGTCGGTTCCAAAATAGTGCAAGGCTTTTCTTAAGGAGGAAAGATTTTGATCCGCAACAATTTAATAACTCGGGTTTTGGGACGCTATACAGACTTCGGCACAGGATTTCACTCCAAAAATTTTTAACAGTAGGTACACTCGTTACCACCCGCGATGCCAGTACGTTTCCCCTCATATTCAAGTACTGTATTCATTTTCTGGTAAGTTTGATTCTCCTTCGTGATAAGAATAACTCAGAAATAACGTGTCCTATCGGATCACGTGCTTTCGTGTGTACATTCGTAGTTATACTAACCCTTATCACAATTTGATCTCATTAAAAATTAATCCCCACTCTCTATGCAGACACACTCGATTCTCCTATGTATGATTAAACACCTTGTTTCAAATAGGGTCTCCAGAAGAGGAATTTTCATCTTTTCCTCCAAGTGGCGAACAAGCATTGTAAAGTATTCACTCGAAAATTATTGCGTTTGTAAGTACCTGTGATAAGTGCAAAGTACGATTTATGACACATTAAATTTATTTTTTTAAAGTCTTGTCTTACAAAATGTTCTAATTTGTTTAAGTACTTTGTTTTTTTTTTTTTTGACAGTTAAATTTTGTACATAAAAATATAGAATTCCATTAAATTTCTCTTTTCTGAATATTTTGATGTCGTTTTTGCAGCGATAAGTCATTTTTGAGGCTCCTTTAGTACCTTCGGGATCGGCCCGTAACATATCGATTCATAGATTGAAAATTTCCTGTGATCTCAAATGGGAAAGTTTCTTAGAATGAGCTTTTCTATTTACTCAAGTGTTTAATTTTCACGCTTACTTTAATCAGATAAACATGCTAAAGATGAGAAGCTAATTTTTCTCTCTCATTATTTTTTTGCACGCTGGTTCATTTGGCATGTCCGCCGCAATCATTGCTTTTCCACTTTTTCAAATTCGCTAACCTTTTTTTAGTGGAAGGAAATGGTTTTCATCAGAGCGTCAAAATTTGATTTTCTCTGGCATTTTTAAAGGATAAATTCCACGCTCAAGCTTCTCTCAGTCCATTGCAGGGATAGTTAAGACTGAGTTTGCAAGGTCATAATTATTTTCTCAAGTTGAGTGAGGTAATTTAAAAAGACGAGTTTTTTTATTGAATTAACAGACTTCAATTAAAATTGTTCAGGCCCTGAGGGCATTACAGGACGAATTAAAAGTCTGCGGTCCACTTTTAAAAGACATTTCGCTACATTAGCGCGGAAATGAAACCCCATAACATGAATCAAAGGCGGGAAAATTTCTAGCTTCCCTGCGTGATACTGCTCTGTTTTAATCTTCCTTCGTCTTTCCTTCAAGTGATTTCCTCTTTCTGGTGTCCTCGGCACTGTATGCGAAGTTGTCAGATGCGTTATTATTCTTTCCATCGGTTATGAGCTGCTCGGAAGAAACTTCAGTAACTTTCATTTTTTATGATAAATTTAGTTTGCATTACTTTTTGGATGAACGTTATATGGCACTTGGCACGGTTTGAGTGAGGTTCTCATCTCATCGTGATTTATGCAAAGTGGTGCCGAGAGGATTTTTTAAGACTGTAGAATATAATCTCCAGTAACTGGAGATTATATTCTAGGTATAACTGTTATACCTCGTAAACCTCGAATTGCATCAACAGAAAAAGTTTAGCGGAGCTAATTCAATTCCATACGGTTCCATACAGTTTCGGAACTTCCATGGATATATTATTTGTTTTCTAGTAGACTCTATGAGTGTTCTCTCGCCAAAAGTTTTTGCATAAAATTTCCGTTTTACTTTCGCTTTTTCAACTATCCGGGAAAATCCGCGTTGTTTTAAATGCTTTAAAGAAAGGCGGGGGAGGAAATCAAATTATGTCAGTAATTCTGAAACGTCGCAACAAATTTTTAAATGGGCATCGAGATAACCTTGCGTTAAGCGACATCAAAAAGAAACTGATTTGCTTTCGAGATGCATTACGTCTCCGCGCCACTAATTTTAAATCATTGCCACTGCAGAAAGCCCTTCTTTTACCAAAAGAAAAAATAAATCAAAACAAGAGAATAAATTTTGAAGTAATAGATTTTACTTGAATTAAACTATTTGTACAAGAAGTGTTCACAAAATAAAATAAAATAAAAATAAAAATCAACAGTGTATTTACATTGCTTACAAAGATACAGAAGTTCACATCAATGACAATTCAATTTGGTTACGCGCGAAATTATCTATAGTCAGTCTATAAAAAACTAACAATAAAATGGCAACAAGGATTCATCTTTACATTCCTAAACAAAGTATTTAAAAAATAAATAAAAAATCAGACGAAATAAAACATAAACGCCGATGAAAAGAAACAAAGACTAAAGTGGCTCGGGTAATGGAAAAATTTACCTTGAGCCATCATTTTTTGCAAACCCGGACGAAAGAGTGCCAAATTTTCGATAATTTTAATTGACACTTTTCCGCAATGCCTGGTAATTACAAAACTGAACTTAAGTGACTTTAAAGTTTCCTTTGTTAAATATCACGCGGACAGTGGGGTTTATCCTCTTTAATATAAGATTACTACGATCCATAATTTCATCTTTTCACATTCATCACATCTTCTGAGAGGAAGCGTCCCTGACCGATTTACGGAAAATTAAAGTCACAAAAGCCAACAATAAACAAAAAAATAGAGTTGAGGCGAAAAATCAAATTTAAAATAAGACACATTTGTTCTCTGTGAAAATTATTTTTTTCTTTCTGGCGATAGATCAACAAGAGATGGTGTAAATTCGTGTTTTTAAAATTACAGACTTGCAGGTGCGAACCTTCAAAATGTAAGTTTTTGAATTTATTAGATTTGTGGTATATCTGAATTTAGAAGTCAGCTCAGCATTCAGAATAATGAGAAATCAATAGTTATAAATAGCGGATACAACGAGGCATCGATCTGCAATGTATTGCAATTGATTACCTGATTATTTTCAAAGAGTTGATATGCCCTATTTCCTTAAGTAGATTCATTTTAGACGAAGCATTGATAAAGAAAAACTCTGTTTAAAGCTATTGGCGTCCACTTTTTATCCTTTTGGTCGTATACAATTTCTTCGCAAAATAAATAAAAGAAAGGTAACTCACTTAGAAGAGAGTAAAGCGTAAAGAAAAGCAATTGTTTAACAGATCTAAATAATCCTCATTATGGAGGAAAGGATGACACAGTTAAATAAACCATGTTAACCTTTTAGAGCAGAAATAAAATAATTATTCACAAATTTATTGAAAAAAGTACCTAAAATTTCAACGACTTTCAATTAAAATTAATATCGAGATGGAAAGTACACTGCTTGATATGAGTTTTTTTTGTTTTTAATACAGCGATAAAACACAAGGGGAAAACACTACAAAGTAAAACATTAAAAGGTTTAAAGCTCAGAGTAAAGCAGATTCCTCTGAGCTATAGGCACACAAAAATATTCTTTCACAATTGTTACGGAAAAGGAAGAATATTCATAGCTTACATTGATCTGATGCAATGATCTATGTTTCTGAATGTGTAAAAGTGATCATTAGTTTCTTACTTCTCAGCCAGTCAGTTACAGTTTCTCCTTTTAAAGAGTTGAAGTTTCAAAACCGCTCCCGACCAAAGATGGCTCATAGATTATTTTTTTTCTCTCTTGGGTATCCTCAAATTCACTAGCCAACTTCTCTCGAAAGTACATAAAATGCTTCTGTACACTTGACCGACATTGACTTCGTGAAAGTGGTATTTCATAAATTAAAAAAATACAAGGCGAATTTTTAAAACACTGGGCCACTAGACAAGATATGAGAACAACGTAGCAGGATTCCTCTTCAAAATTTCACGAGGAAAACGAATCACACAGCGGGACGTCTGGAGGGCAATTCCTAAACAAGATGTTAGTTTTAACAATTAACAAGAGTTAATGACAAGAATACAAATAACGTCATTTGTATGATTCAACTTTCATTTAATCTGCGTTAAAAATACTCATTGATATCTCGTTTAGGAGGTGATTCACGAACTTCCCGTTGTTTGAATAGTTTCCCGAGTAAGATTTTGAGGAGAAAACACGTGGCTCTTTCATTTAGTTCAGACCTGGTCTATTCGTCCATCAAGCCTAGATTGGTAAATTTTGAGGTTGCTAGCACAGATTAAACGTCGAAAGAGCACAAAGCAAAAACTGTTAACGAGCACGTGAGATGAAGGTTAACCGGGATTATTTTAAGCACTTGCCTTTGAAGTTTTAGGCGGGAAAGAGTAGGGGTCTGAGGAATTTGAATAATTAGAAATGACGAACGCGTCGGAATGCACGGATCGATGCCTCAAGAGCCAAGAATCTTCGTCATCCATGACAAGAAAGAGGCGGTTGAGAAGCAAACAATGCTCATGTTTCCAAAGAAAGTGAACAGTCAACGAGAGACAGCTATGTTTAAATCTTGTTTCGAATACAAACACTTACAAAATGCACTAACTGAATTACTATTGGTAAACTGGTCACAGGGCGGATACTCGCATCAGGAGGGAAAATATTTTGTCTTTTGAAAAAAATTTAGCGAATTTTTGCGACACCATGAGAAAAAGTAGAGAACTTTTAGCGATTAAAAAAATGAGGAATGTGTGTTGCAATTATTAGTAGTTTTCTTCAAAGAAGCAAGCTACTTTGCGAGCATTCAAAATTCGTCCGATAACATCTCATGATCTTTTCTGAAAATTAAAAGGTAGCCGGATACTTTTTCGTAGTTAACTAGTTAGGAATCAGTAGTTGGTCGAGCTCTCTCAAAAGTTTGAATGTTGAATCTGAATTTAATTGAAGCATTAAAACAGGAGACTTTAAGTTCAAAATGTGAAAACCCTGGAAGGATTTATGCGGTTTGAATTATATCCACACAAAAATATGAAGAAAGCAGTAAACATAGCTGCTCCATCGTAAAATACTCCTACTTTTAGATCTGTGAAAATAACGGACTACGGACGTACCGTCCCTATTTCGGTTATTGTGACCGAAGCTGATGGTTCACGAGCCGCAAGTTCCGGATTAAGGAACTGCAGCTTTGCGGGTACTGAGCCCAGATTATGGACAGTATATCTATTCAGTCCGTGCTTACAGATCCACAGCAAAGGCCGGAACGCTTTTCCGGAACAACTGAGCTAAACATCAAAGAGAAAGCAGGTTTAATTTCAGAATAGACAGAGTACAAAAAGATACATGTAAAAAAGAGTTATATCACAGTTCTCTTCTTTCAAAAAGAGAATCTACTTTCTAATCGACTGTTTCGGTTATAAGAAGTACATTTCACTCATAATTCCTATAAGGAGCTCTGAGTGCTCACGTCGTCAACTTCAAACATGGTTTTGGAATAACTATATATACTCTTTAACAAAATAATGTATTGAACCTGCGGGTTACATTGCAGATGTCTGTTAGAAGGGCTTACAACTAAGCGATTGTGAAAAAAGAAGAGAAGAAAGAAACATAAAGGTGCAAATGAAATCACGACTGAAGGTACATCACAAAAATTATTCATTCCTATCGGAACAACAGACATGATCGTTGACGATCGAAAATGTCTCATAAAATTGTTAATGGGCTTCAATTATATCGGATAGAATTCGAACGTTAGAATAATCAATGTACTGTTTGCAACTTTTATACAACATTTGGCTGGTTCCCACCTTTAGGTGACGTTTATTAATGAATTGAAAAACGTGAAATGCGAAAAGGAACGATTATCTCCTGATAAAAATCTCAACGCGCAGTCTTAGGTACTGCATTTTCCTGAGTAGTGCTATGGTATACTCATTTTTCCTCCAAACTCTATGTAATGAAGAAGGGTAAGTAATAAAGTTATACGCAACCCATGCCATTCCTACGGTGCCACTTCGATGTGCGGTACAAATCGCAAAAAGCAACAGAACAATATTTTCACAACGTGGGCTCTTAGAGTAGACCAAACGTACAAAATGAGAATAGATAGCGAAGATTCAATAACATAAAATAATAGAAAACAGCCATTAAAGTGGCACCGAGTGTTTAAATAACATACCCACATACAGTTTGAGACTCACATACTATGTTCAATTTCTTGAAAGGTAGAAAATAAGGGAAACATAGTCTTGTTCCCAGTGGCGTGGCGTGCTTTGCGATATATCGATTGTTATGCCATTTAAACCTATGGAAAAGTATCGATAAACAGGGTGTTCGCAGCGAACACCTTAATAATCGATTCTTTACCATAGGTTTAAATGGAATAACATTCGATACATCGCAATTCACGCCACGCCACTGCTTGTTCTCCACCCAAGAGCTAATCTGCCGATTGACTTAGAAATAAGGAGGGGGTACAAAAAGACGATTTTTCGAGAGAACATTTTTTCCATTCGGAGATTTGTTAAGAGCAAAAAAAAATGTATGAAAATTTGGTCATTTTCCTGTTGGAAAAAAGAAGAGAGACACGCACCTTGCGTGGTTAACAGTAAAATTTCTCGGTGAGTCGAAATTCGTAAGTAATGGGCACACGCTAGAGCATACTTTTAGAATTGAAAGAAGTAAAAAAAACCCTCTCCTTAGAATAAATAGGTACTTTTCGCAAAATTTGCTTCAAAAATTCGCCATGAGCGCGCGGTGCATCATCAACTTTAACTGCTCAAAAATTAGAACAGTCAATGGCCTCCTTCGAGGAGCGCCTAATCTTTGATACCAAAGAAAAGCGCCTCGAGGTAACGTTGCTGACCTGTAGCTGCTGCAGGGCATCACACCTGAGGATTGATCTTATTTTAGGCCGAATACATCAATTCCCAATAGTATGAGAGTTTCGACTAAGATCAGACGTCCACGTCACGTCAGAACGTCAATTGCACGGCAATCTCGGCCAGCCTCAGTCACGGGCTTATCATGTTTCAAAAGAAACGGAAACGAAAACCTATCTGGTGAGCTTCTTCTTGCATTGTTTGACTAGTTTCCTCCTCTTGATGATGAGCTCGTAGAGCGCCTCCAAGCCCTCGTGGAGTCCATCGCCGGTGATGGCGCAGGCCGGCTGGACGTGGTACAAACTCGAGCCGCTGCACAACTCGTGCAACCCTAACAGCTTCTCTATGTCTTTAGGCTCCCTGGCGTTGGGCAGGTCCTGTTTGTTGGCTAGGATGAGGATAGGGACGCCGGAGTTCTCGGGGGACTTGGCCGTCCGGAGGAGCTCCATCTTGGCCTCCTCCATGCGCTCCGTGTCGACGGAATCGAGGACGAAGACGATGCCGTCCGTGCAGCGGGTGTAGGACTTCCAGAGCGGCCGGAGCTTTTCTTGTCCACCGACGTCCCAGACGAGGAAGGTGACGCCCTTGGCGCGGCCGAGGGTGCCTTTGACCTTCTCGCAGTTGAAGCCGATGGTGGGGACGGTGTTGAGGTACTGGTCGAACTTGAGCCGGTAGAGGGCGGTCGTCTTGCCGGCGCTGTCCAGGCCGAGCATGGCGATGTGCATGGTCCCGACCCCGGCGCCCGGGAGGGCGTCCAGCAACAGGCTGCTCTTTCCCATGTTGGCCCCCATCACTCCACCACCCACATCTCACCGAGACGCGTCTGAAACAGAGAAACAATCAAACGATTAGAATCCACTCCCGCTAGACGGATACACGCTACACCTTCGGGCAGCTTCCGCCGATTTACATTGCAAAACTACCGGCGCACTGTGGATCGAGTCAATAGGAGAGTCGGACAAAATTTGGAAACTTTAAACGCATATAACTCCGTTGATACAAGACTTAGAGGTTCTACAGGTGGTTCTATTGATTTCCTCGTGAAAATTCCTTCTGGAAAAAACCCCTTAAAATTTAAAATGTGACCAAATAAACATCAAAATTAGCAGTTTTGGTAAAAAATTTCATGTTCGACCTCTCGTATTGGTTCGGTCCACTGTGCGGCGACAAGAATCAATATTGCAACACGAGCAGGACGTAGAATAATGGTATTTTTCAGCAATGCTCAGCGAACCCAACTTAAACTTAATTACAGCTTATCAAGCAGGCGGGGGGAGGGGGTTGGGGGGTTNGGGGGGGCTTGCGAAAAATGTCTGTTCGGTTTTAGAGGGAACTCCCTTGTGAGACATTCGAGGGCGAGTAACGTTTGAGAAAACCGTAATGGGCCACTAGACTTCGATAGGTAAAGTGTCGGAAATTCCCTGACTTTTCTCACGAATTCCGTGACTTTTCCCACGAATTCTGACTTTCCCTGATTTTCCCGGTTTTCCAGACCGTCGGCAACCCTGCTGTCATGCAAGAATCCGAAAATTCCAAATTATCACCATGACTTTGTTCCGAGGCTTGTCACAAAATGATTGCAATGGTTTATATTTTCTTTACTCTCCGATCAAATTATTCGTTACTTCCTCCCAATTTCCCGCTCCTTCGATCTTATAAATCTACGTTATGCTTGTTTGTGTGAGGCTGTTTACGAGTTTTTCATTCCTGACCGCGGTCCACGTCGAAATACGATGGCGATAGGCGAGGCACCAGACCTTTGAACTGGGTTCGAACTCCGTGCTGTGGTTACAATAAATTTCCAGCCGTTCATTAAAGCGAGAGGAAAAAGTTCGGGGTCCGTAATTATGAGTTGCAAGCGTGAGTTCCATTCATCTTGGTGGATTAAACAGGGGTTTGAACGTCGGGCTGCCCGGGAAAACTTTAGGGAAATTTTTCCTAATTAATCTTGCTGGATTGCAAGACTGAGCAAAGCGCCACTGTTACCAGATTGAATGTGTTCGCCGCTATCATCATGTACGGAGGAAAATAAAAACACATGAAAAGTCGCTTACTAGAACCTCGTAAGTACACACATTGCCGCTGGATACACCCTCTTATAATAATTAATATCCTAAAAACGATAGAGTTTCGTGGTAAATTTGAGACGTTCGGTAAAGAGGGCATTGTATCCCTCTCATGCTGTTCTCGAAATTAATGATTTAAGAGATTTTGCAGCGGAGAAGATATCAAATTTAATGTTCACCGGCGCAGAAATTACACAAGAGGTCTCAAAATTTATACGACGCGTGATTTTTTGCCTACCTTCTCATTTGAAGGCGTATTTTCCGACCGATTTCTGGCTTTACCTTACTTTAATCACTGGGTATCCAAGTGGCATCAATTTCCCAGACGAAAAAACGTATGTACATTCCAACTTTTTAAAAAATGCGATTTCTGTTAAAATTTGGATAATTTTTGCGTCGAATCGGAAAAAAAAATTAGTGACATTTTCAGTTGGAAATTCCCAACATTTTTTTAGTTTAAAAATATGATGTGTGAATGGAAATTTTCTGATGGTGAAATATAGTTACGTTCTTTTGACTCAGAAGACGGCGATTTGTGAGGCAAAGATCTACATAAATCATTCAAAGTTTTTCTAAAATGGCGGTTTGTGCGGTCAGTTTTAGCAGTTTGAACAGTGAGTTTGACAAAAAAATGACATGGCTGAAATACAAATGGCTCAGCATGATTGTCGTTTACTGTGGTATTTATAAAACGCTGATACCAGAAGTCGAGGACCTTTATGAGTAGAGGTAACGATATTATTTTACTTCTGATGTCAAAGAGTGATGCTTTCCTCCTCTGTTGATACGTCCGGCACATGCCCAAAATTATACATCAACAAAGCGCTACTGCAAGGTTGAGTGGTATATGCCCGCCTTGAGAATATGCATGTAAGAAAAAATAATAAATTTTTCGCACAACTTAGCGCTGGCGGAAACCTACCCTCGAGTCTTCAACTTTTATCGATCTCCGTCGGGGCTCAGTGGAACTTTCTGTATGCTCCCGTTTCGGAAAGTTTACACCTGGACCGTAACTTCGCTTCCTTTTGGGGGAAAACCATTTGATTGCCTGGCCCTGATCAGACATGAAATTAAGATCCTGCCCCAAAAAGTTTGGTTGTGTGATTTAAAATAGATGATAGAAGTTTTGAGAAATTAGCTGTATTAATTGGACGTATTTCCTCTAACCGGACTAGAGAGGTGAGAAAGGGGTATGCTCGTTAGTCGCGGGCTCGAAACGACATATATTACTGAAAAAGCGAGACACAAAAAAATCGATTTGTGTCCGAAAAATATTAATAAGTCCATTCTGATAAATCCATAATCCGTACACTTATTAATAAACCGATCAACATAATGGAAGTTACAACTTCTTTGCACGCATCTTTAAAGACTGACGCAAAATTGAGCGGATCGAGATCAGTCACCGAGTGTTTGAATTAACTACAGGTTTCTATGGACGGTGTTTGACACTCAGAGTTCGGATGGGGAAAAGGGGAAGGGGTTACAGGTTGCACAAACATCACCGCAACAATCAATTTAGCTGTACTCGGTTTCGGTAATGGATAGCTCTATTGCATCGACTCACGTTGAAGATGACTGACTGATGAGATTCGATGATGCCGTTCCACTCCCATAACACGAGCTGTGAAATGTTCATGATCGAATGTTCATGGACCGATCACGGGTGCAAAGACTGAAACTTTAAATGTTATTCGGTCTCTGACAAACAACCAGTTTTTCTGCGCGGAGACCTTGAATGTTTAAACTTGTTTTAAGATCGCGATTATGGTGCTGTCTAATCGTTCATATGAGGGATTTTTATTTCTCTTTCGAGTTATAAATACAAAAATAATACAATCTTACACTAATCTTTCTGTTGATTTTTTTGGGTGATATGAACTAATTTAATTTGTTTCCTTGCTTCAATAAAGTTACTGTGAAAAACAGAAAAAAGGCATTATCTTAGACAGAAATGAGCTAATGTTACCACGAAAATTCTTCGTCGAAAAGGAGAAGTCCACGATGAAATATTTGTCATAAAAAGTAGCTGTCATTCGGTGAAAGAAAATTTTCGTTTTCGCGCAAAAAATTATCACAACATGGCGTAGTACTCTGATGAGACCATTTTACCTAGCTCAACCGGAGACTGCCGGAAAAACGATTTTCCGTTTTGATGTTTCTCAGCAAGAATATTTGATTAAGAACGATAACGCGACAGTTTCAATTCAAAAATTTCAGCGAATATTTCAAGAGACGAAAAAGAATAATTGAAATAAATTAACGATCGAACAGTTTTTATTGCTTGAATTTATATTCCAAAATATCATAATTTTATTGGTAATAAATGGTATAATAAACAGTGGGAATATGCATGGTTTGCTAGGGAACTCGGCCATTTTTACGACCCTGCGTATTCTGACTGATAGGGCCAAAAAGCAAACACGCTGCGATCGATCCATAATCTTCTGTCATCAGTAATAAATTTTATGGCATGGCTCATTCTCCCATTCCCTCGGAGAAGCCTTGATTTGAGGTGATAAATTTGATATAATTCGACGAGAATAGGTCACGGTCTGGGGCATGCAGGGATCTCCACAGAGCACGTTTTACGCACAGCTTAAATGGTGTCACGTCGTGGTGTATTGATGAAGCGAGGTCGAAGTTAAATCGCAAAATTTGTGGCAACGAGTGATACTGATACGATTTCTAGGCAACGATTGACCCCCCGACATAAAATTTTAGAGCACATAACGTTCGATGAAAATGAGTAACGAATACTGGTCTCTGGTTTCTTTGAATGGCATACTTGACAATAAGAACCGATTATTTCAGAATTATTTCGTAATTGTCGTTTCTTTCATTAATTTTACTGTACAGGAAGACTTTTGGTTCTTTTTCTTTTTGTGTACCTTATCCATGTAAATTCTTCACATTGAACTCCGACTTGCAGGCCCGCCACATCCCATCTCGGGCCCTGGTACCAGTTTTCTGGCCCGGGCCCCTAGCACAGAGGGGGGTCCGGGGGGCCTCCTTCGGGAAATTTTTGAAATTTTAAATCTATTTGGACGCATTTTGAAGCTCTTATAATGGAGATTTTCCATCAATCTCTGCAGAATAATTACGCTTTTTTTTACTTTCAGCACCAAATCACTTTCGAATTGTTGCATTCAAAACATCTATAAATTTTTTTTTGAGGGGGGCAGATGATACTTTTCAATTCTAGGGGGAGCCGGGCCCCCCTGGACTCCCCTTTCGTACGTCTAAGGCAAGGGAGTTGAGCCATTGAATTCGAGGATGCCCAGGCAGGAGGCTCTTAGCATCCGACAACGGAAGAAAATGAAACGCAGTTACTAAAAATATCATTCTACATATACTCAAAATCTTGAAAATAGAAAGAAATCTCTAAAAAAGTAAGAATAATTNATAAATTTTATGGCATGGCTCATTCTCCCATTCCCTCGGAGAAGCCTTGATTTGAGGTGATAAATTTGATATAATTCGACGAGAATAGGTCACGGTCTGGGGCATGCAGGGATCTCCACAGAGCACGTTTTACGCACAGCTTAAATGGTGTCACGTCGTGGTGTATTGATGAAGCGAGGTCGAAGTTAAATCGCAAAATTTGTGGCAACGAGTGATACTGATACGATTTCTAGGCAAGGATTGAACCCCCGACATAAAATTTTAGAGCACATAACGTTCGATGAAAATGAGTAACGAATACTGGTCTCTGGTTTCTTTGAATGGCACTTGACAATAAGAACCGATTGTTTCA